TTACAAAATGAACAAATCTGAGAGAGGTCCACATGTAGTACCTATATATGTAATATCAAAGCATTTGCACTTGCGGTTTTTAACAAGAAGTCAAAAATATCACTTTTTACCAAAAATGACAAAAATATTCACCAAAATTTGAGAATTGAAGATATCAACATGAAATGAACAAACCTAAGAGAGGTCCACCCAAGGTACAATCACTCATATGATAAGCTCCGCTCGACAAAGTCGACAGTGGAGCTAAAAACAGGGCCTTCAGATATAAACTGTACAGCTTGTGTGATGATTTGTTTCAGAGGCCTTTCTCTTCTTGTAGCACTTGAAAAACATTTGCCGAATGGGTATGCTCATTTACGGTACCAATTTGTAAGATACATGTATGACCTCGTTAGCAAGAGTCTTTAGCTAGACATAGATACAGTCAAATCTGTGTTAAGGGCCACTTGTATATAACAGCCACCTGTCTCTAGCAGTTGCAGACGAACAGTCCCTGCATAATTTAAGTATTAAGTACACTGTATATAGCAAACACCTGTTTAATGTTGCCAACAGAATTTAGCAAATTTGAGGGACAAAATGGCTGCCAGTCAGCCATATTTCATCGAATCATAGCGAAAATTGGCATGCATATCATACAAAAAAATCACATATAAATTGAACGAGATCGGTCTAGACAGACACACGGCCGGACGGAATCAAAATTAACAGTCCCCAAATGGTATCAATAAAACTTTCACTAATGATTGCCATGTCAGTGTGTTTTATCTATTGTTTCATCTACTGTTAAGGTATAGATGCAGGTTCTTGGACACTTGGAGTGAAAAAGGGGGGGGGGGGTTCCAACCAAGGTAACTAAGACAGCATCGCAGAGTTGTCAGTTTCCTTTTAATTTACAGGGATTTTACTAAGATTTTACGTTTGTGTATTTTGACACAGAAAAGATAGGTACTAATGACAACAATAGCAGTGGTGTTTGCCCAATGCATTGCACTTTAGCTGGCAATGATACAGTATAGAGAATTTTGATCTGACTATGATACAAGCTGACATATAGATGTATTCCAACATGTATGATGTATGTGCCAAATATTAATGAAATCCATAAGCCTTTAGCTCCCTACGACCCCCAATATGCTGTGTTACATGATGATTGGTCTGGATGCCTTGGCCTAAACAATTCAGTCATAACATGCAGCGAGTCACAAGCTCTATCTTTCAGCGATAGTCTTTCACACTGACTCAGTCACATGATGGACTAATTAAAACCAAAGACCTGTCAAATTGGCCTCCCTTATTTTAATTCCATGGTTGAACCTGGCCTTTTGTACAACAAAGTGGGCAGCAGACCCTGTGCCGAGTGTGCACACAAAAGTGAACAATGGCGTCAAGGTATACTAAGCATCAATGTTCGCATGCCAAGCAGATGAAAAACAGCTGTTGCCAGCAAGTTGTGGCTCACTTTCCAGATGGGTTCTGGAAAAGAACAGCTTTGAATACTCAAATGTGGACGCAAGATGTTTACAGCCAAGATGCATGAAATGAGAATTCTAGCTAACTCACGTACGTGTTGTGATGTACAGCATTATACCATGTTTCTGGCATCAAGGTACCGGAAGTCACACATTTCACATTATACCTCTGAGACCTCTCGTTTAACACCACCGCTATCATAGCCTGGTCTAATTGTTGTAGCTCACAGGGTCATTCACACACACATTGACTTGCTACTGAACTTTCTGTTGGGCTTGGGTTGAGACAGCATTGCTAAAGGAGCTGCTTCAGGTAGACCCCAATTCACTCCAATTACTTACAATACTGGCGAATCACTCTTTGGAAGCTGCTGTGCTTTAGCACAGAATGGAATGAACCTGAATATTCCACATTTATTACCCATAATCCCTGGAGGGACCAGGTGGAAGCTAGCATTAATTATAATTTTAGGGTAAATAGGCTGGCAGTAATAAGACCAACATTGTATAATATCTAACTTATAGTATGGAAATTGCAGTGACAAATAAACAAAAGGCTTACTGAAGCAGCCCTTTTATTTTGGACTATTTGGTCAGGGAATAATAATATACCTTTGATATTTTATCTGCTTTAGTTGCAACAATTACTATCTTCGGGTACTTATTATCTTTACTTTGAATAGCATATGTCAATATTGTATTTACCCAGTAGAGAATAAAGTCTAAAATAAGAAATAAGAAAAAAGAAGGGCTAGTTCTTTTTGTAGTTATGCACGTCAGGTTTAGAAACATTAATGGCAACAGTAAATATATATTGATGTATATGCATTTATCAGCAATTTTGGACTCATAACATACTTGTTTGATGTTATAGTAATTAATTTTCACTAATGTATTGAAAACAGATTTGTTTCAAATTATGTAAATTATAAATGACATCTCAGCATCAAAACCACAATTTGACATTTTTATACAAACCATTCTGTTTTGCCATAGTATCAAACAAATCTGCCATGGAAATAAGAAAGAACATTAACATTAAGGTCACTAGTTTTTCATTAACAGGAAATCACACAATTTTCAATCTGTAATTACTCTGTGTGGTGTTAAATTTTGTGTATTTATTATGTCTTGAGTGTAAAAATAAAATTCACATAGTGATCATTGCCATCTAGTCACAGTCTTTTGACCAACAATATCAGTAAAAGAGAAATAAGTAAGACACTTAAAAACAAAGTAGATTGAAACTGTGAAAAAAATGAATCATTGCCAAGTTTGAAACCCTGTCAACACTCAAATATGGTCAGCCACATATCAATTTTTGTTTTTTGCTTTTTTGAACAAAAATGATGCACATTTGTTAAGGATTATCAAAAAAACTAATTAATATGTGAATGTCCACCATTATGTACCAATTTTGTAAATTGGGCCAGGCCAAAATCACGTGAAATGAAGAGCAATAACAAATATTGGTATAGTATTTATGAACTACTCACCCCTTGCTGTTTCCAGTTCATGACGAATCTCTAATTGCCCTTCTTGGTCAGTAACGGGTTCATCCAGTTTCTTGGAAATATCTGTCACAATTATGTACAAGAATTTACCCTGTGTAAAAACCTGCAAAAATAAGTTACTGGTAAATTTCGCCATTGTATTCCACTGCAACACCAAAATAGTGTCAATAACAATTCCTAATATATCGTTTTTGTTACTGTCTATAAGTGACATATGAGAAAAACAGATGCAAGCCTATTACACTGTTGTAAATGGGTTCATAATGGTTTATCTAATAACACTTATGCTGGAATAAGAGAAGTAAACAAGGTTTAGTGTATAAAAGCACTTCGGTGAATTTAAGATAATGAGATCCTATGTTTGCCAAATGCATCTATGCAACATTTTTTTATTTAGAGATCACTGTTTAGCCCAAAGACTTCACAATATTGATCAAAAATTTATGTTGGAAGAGCCAGTTTTTGATATAAGGGTCTAGAAAAATGACAAAGGCATTGAATTGAATTAACACAAATGGCGTCAAACAGATATATCAGCTCTTCGATCGCAATTCTCAGTGAAGGTTCTTGTCCTGATGCATTGCAATGCGTAAGTAAGTATCACTTAGATCTAGCACCTCAAGTAATACATCTTTTTATATGACCTGTGGTGAAATAATCCTAAATAAGTTTATCTGAATACATGCGAAATAAGGATTGGATGATCACTCCCTTGCCCAACAAGGTTGCATTTTCTGCTAGATTAACATATGCCTACTTCAAATTCCTTGGTAATTAACCACATGGGAAACACATTGTCAATGAAGTAAGAGGAGCATTGAGTTGTATTTTTTGTTTGCACTCTACTTTCCAAAGATTGAATGTTCACAGTGGTACTTGCAATCGCAGAGGTTAGAGGAAAAATCTTGAACTTGTGTATGTGTGTAACAATGTATTCCTTAGCAAAGTTGAAATAATCCCAAGGAGTGTTCTATACTGCTGTTAATGTACTGTTCATGGATAATTGATAAGTGCTGATAGACACATACTGCTGTACTGATCAATAGTTCAACTGAATGTAAAACAAACAATGCTGCTAACATGGCTTACAGCTTGATTACTCAGCATCGAATAAAGTACTTCAGAAGAGTTTTACTTTGTTTATTTGTTGTACAAATTTGTTTTTGCTAAATTGCAGGAGCTTCCCTAACAGGAGTGCAGGCTTTAATTGTCACACTCAACATTAGCCACAATAAAATGCCTGTAATTCATTAAATGCAACTAACCTGATGTGAAATATAATAAATTTCTTGCCCGCCAAAATCAAACAATGTAAAGCAAAAGTCTTCCTTTTCTGGATCTTTAACATCTTTCAATCTTTCCATGAGATTTTTATATACTTCTTCATTCTTTCCAACCCGCTCAATTCTAGCTGTACTTCCTTTTACTTCAACTTCACCTTGAGGCACAGCTTAATGTAGAAGAAATTATAACATTACTTACAAAAATGTACACAGCTATAAAGGGAGCATGTTTAGTCAAACCTTTAGATAGTGACCACCCAACATGCTGGCACATGTTCCAAATGAATTTATCTCAGAACAGGGAATAAAGAAATACCGTTCACTAAAGGGTAGTGACAAACAAGTCTCAAACACTTATGTCAAATACACCAGGCCAAGCTTACTGCAACTTACAAAACTGGGATTTCTCTCTAAAAAAACCATGCAAATCTCAATAGGATATACCACACTTAGAACTACTCCTAACATGTGCTTCCAGATTTGAACATATACATGTACTAGAATACAGGGAATTGTTATAGAAAATTTAGGGTTAAAAGCCAAAGTGGAAACAATGCAAATCAACTGAAAATCAACCATTACACCAACTACACGACCTACAACAATATACAAGATAACAATCTGGAGATACATGTCATTCTACACCAACTAAATGATGAAACATAAAAGTTGTGAAAGTTACGGCTACAGATTTTTTATAGCCAATAGTAAAATATGTTTAGCTACTAAAGTCAAAACATACTGTCCAATATCCATTCTAACTATCTTGAGCAAAATCAATTTTTTTGGAAAGTTTATTACACACTGTAATGTACTAAAGCACATTTGTGCCAATTTTTGACAAAATATGATAGTTGTTCTTCAGATATTGGTCTTAGAGACATGTGTATACACATCCACTGAGTCAGGCTAGCCTCAAACGTTCTCAGAATGTGCTTATTGCACACAGGGGACTAAACACATTGAAATCATTATGAACTTCCTTTTTCACACTTACGTTTTGCACTGCCAGGCCTCTCACTGCTTACATTAGGATATGCATGTTCTGCTTCTGTGAATTTAAAGAAATAAAAAAAAATATATAACAGACGTTATCTAATCAAGTGCCAATTACTACCTGTTCAACGTATACATAACATATAAATATATATCAACCCATTTTTTAGCTCCACTGTCGACTTTATCATATGAGTGATTGTCCGTCGTCGTCCGTCGTCCATGTCAATTTTTTACTTTTTCGACTTCTTCTTGAAAACTACAAGCCTAAATGCTTTGATACTCGGTGTATATGTACCTTGAGTAGACCTCTCTTAGGTTTGTTTATTTCATG